GATCCATCCTGAGACGGTGCTATTTAAGAGACTGAGCTGAATACAGCTCCTCAGACTGAGGAAGTCTCTCGGATGACAGACGAAACGTTTCTACATTTTTTTGTTGATTTGCTTTGTTTTTTTGTTTTTTTGAATGTCCAGAGGACCAGATTTAACTTTTTTAGATTTTTCTACCTGGATTATTGAGCATGCATCAGAATATAAAACAATCTTTCAAAAATCTACTTCAGTGTCAATACATTTTCTGTTATAGATATGAGCGATAAAAGGGGATTAGTCAGGAAGTAAAGCAGCAAGTTATGCATTTTGAAGAACTTTATGCAAATCATTAACACTTTCTAAACCTTGAAAACACCACATTTAAATTTAAGCACTTTTAAGTAATTCCAACACCTGTATAGGTCTTGTATCAAGTGCTTCAGAGACCATGAGCTCTTGAAAATATTCCAACTTTTTGCTAAGAAAAAGTTCCAAAACATCTCAATCCTACAATTAAAGAGCTTGTTTTAATAAATGGGGACATTTCCCCTTTCAAAGGGCTAATAAAAAGTGAAATGGTTATTAACTAAGCAGAAAACACTTAATAATACATTAATAAGCACTTAAAGCACATTAGTTTAAAATAAACAATGCTGACTTATTGCTTGTCTAAAAGGATCCTGCTTCAACATATAAACAGTATCTTGTGACTAATACACTTATTAATGCTATTTACAGTGTTTACAAACTCAGATATTTCAGTGCAAAGGCATTAATTAACCCTTTATAGACATACCTTTTTTATAAAATCGTACCTATAACTGCAACAAAAGCATGTACAGTAGTCTCTCACTACTTCGTTTTTCACATACTCGCTCATCGCAGTTTTTCAAAGTAAGATTGGACATGACACACAATTGGCTTATTGATGGATGAGCCGCAAGATCGGCATGGATATTTTATTTAAAATAAATTATTTAAAATTATTTAGCACCTGTTTGCAGCCCACAGCTGCAGAAAAAGCTTCTTCATGCAGCGTGTCACGATCTCTGGTCTGCAGCGGAGAAGTGGGCGTGGCCAAGAGCACCAGCAGATGGCAGAGAGCAGCGGAGGCACAGAGCTGAAATCTTGACATTCTGTGTTCTTTTATAGCGTTTAGAGTTTAGAAGCATTGTTTCGAATATTGCAAGTGCGTGGGAAGGGTTTAGAATGCCTTTATACATACATACAAATATACACATTGCGCCGCTGCATAAGTCGCATCAGTTCAAATATGTCTAATAAAGTGGAAAAAACATAAATACGTCGCTTCACCGTATAAGTTGCTTCTAATATGCGTCACCGCTGACGACACGGAAATGTGGGCTGATGTTGTGCCAAAAATTGAATGGCTGCCAAATGGTGGCCGCGGGAGCATGTACAGGGGGACTTTAAAGATTAACATTTAAAAACAATTATTTGTTCGCTCGAAATTATAGCAAAGGTGTGTCTCAGTCTAACTTTTCCTTAATAAATGCACTTTAATAGTCAAATCAGCTGCATTTCACCTGGGCAGCATAGTGAAATGCAGCTGATTTGATGTTTGTTCCAGGAGTTCCACAACAAGACCAAGGTGGTGACTGTGGCAAGCCAAATGTCTCATTAATAGCCGCTTTTACCTATTAATGAGACACTTAGCTTGCCATATTAGTTGAGCACCCTCTAGCAGCTGAAAATGGTAGTGTTCAATATTTTCCATGTCAGAATGAATGAAATTGTCAGATCTCAGCCAAAAATTGGGTTTTAAATATGGGGGAAAAAAACGCAGGGCATGCTAATTTACAATTACAATCATTATTAATGATTTATACTGTGAAAAGTACGGTACTTGTACTATTATTCCTACTTTGCAGTTTTTCACTTATAGCGAGCGGGGCTTCAGGGTACGGATCCCCCGTGATAAACGAGGGACTACTGTACTTGGTTAACATTAGTTTTGACTTCTCTTTTTCAGTTAAGCATATATGTGTTTGTAAAATAGTGTAACTTACACGATTAAATATTTGAATGTGATAAAAACTCTTTGTATTTGTTTTATTGAGTTTTGTCTTGTTTTGACACTTGTTCTCATTTGTCTTACAACTTGACTTCGTATGAAGCAGAACCAAACAGGGAGTGTGCTAAAGGATGAATATTTAAGTTGCTGTCATCAGTTTTCACATGAAAGAAAACCACGAGTTCTTGCCATTTTTACAAATTTTTAGATGTACAAATTAGTGAACAAGGAGCCGAAGTATGTCATGTTCTTTCACAAAGAAAACAAAATGCATCTCTTTTTTGTTGCTTATTTCAATTATTAGTTTTTAACTGCTTTTAGAAGTTTTAACCCACATTTTTCTTTTTCTTCTCTTTGTCTTCTTCGCTGCAATACCTGGACTTTCTTCTATTTTCACTTTTATTCTCCCTGTTTGTGCATTTATTTCTTTTTCATGTGATGCTGTTGATCATTTTTCTGTTTATTTAACACATTTTCCCACCTTTACTACACATCTTTTTCACCTGCACCTTGTGTCCACCTCATCTCTTCTCCTTCAACACAACGTGTGTGTTTTATTTTGGTTTTTTGGTCATAGCTTGGGGATATGGATGACTGTGTCCTGCGAGGCCTTCTCTCCCTGCTGGCCTGCCTCAGCCAGCTCTTCCTTCTCATCAAGGTTGTCCCTCCCCCTTTTTTTACCCCCCGCTGTTATATTGTTTCACCTCTCATGTTCAATCTTTTTTTTTCCTATTTAAATGCGCCACAACTTTATGAATATTAAACAGAGCTCTGGTTTGTGCAGTGCTGTGGTTGTTTCTCTCCGTGGGATTTGTTCGAGCTTGTATTTTCTGTGTAAACAGGATGCTCCCTGAGGGTAAAACATACACACACAAAATGTTGAACCTGCTCCAGTTTTGTTCCAGAAAGACAAGAAAAATCATACAATATGCCTGCATGTTTCTATCAGTCTGCAATTGGACGTCTGTTTGCATGTCTGTCATGAGTTTATCAACAATAAAGATGTTGAAATGTCTTATTATTGCTAGCTAAAGAGAAGTCTTCATGGGTTCTTTGCCTTGCACGTTCTCATCAGGAGCTGAGGGAGAAGCAGGTGATGCAGCAGGCTGTCCTGGACGACCTGCACAGAGTCAAAGAGGATAAACTGAGGGAGCTGCAAAGGCGCAGGGAGGAGGAGAGAGAAAGGAAGAGGAGGGAAGAAGAGGAGGCAGCCAGGTGAGTTGTCTTTCTGTGACCTGCCGAAGAATATTTCTGCTTCACTGCGTCTTTCTCACTCTGAAGATGGTTTTGATAAATCGTCTCCATCACAGACAGGCGAAGCTGGAGCAGGAGAGGAGAGAGCAGGAGCGGAGGGAACAAGAAAAAAAGGAGAGGGAGGAGGAGGAAGCACGACAGAGGAGGATCCTGGAGGAGCAGCGGGCCAAGCAGAGGGAAGAAGAGGAGAGGCAGGCGAAAGCTCGCCTCCAAGCTGCTCAGGAGAAAGCACAGGAAGAGGAGAGAAGAAGGAGAGAGGAGAAGGAAGAGGAGGAGAAGAAGAAAAAGGAGCTGGAGGAGGAGAGGATAATCAAAGAAGAGGACAAGGAGCTGCAGAGGAGGAAAGAAGAGCAGGAAAGAGGAGGACAGCAGCTAACTCCATACAGAGCTCTATACTCCTTTGTAGCCCGCAACGCAGATGAGCTGAGTATAGACGCAGACGGGCTAATAGAGGTACGATCAGCCAAACCATGATGCTCCCACCTCCATGCTCAACAGTGCACTGCAACGTTCCTTAAATCATTTTAAAGTCAAACTTAAGTTTGAATTTGCTTTTTAACCTCTAGAAGTTTTCATTTTCATGCATCTCAGTTTAAAGCAATAGTTCAGAACTTTTAGAGTGGACCTTTATGGGAAGGAGAGTTGGAGTTACTGAAAGACCACAGCAATCCAGTTTGGTCTGGGCCTAACTTGGACTAGCTGTGAGCTCATCAATCAATCAAAATAAAAACGTAACATGCCCTATGCTTGTCGTGCCAGAGATTTTAACTGTAACCAATTTTGGCTGAGAAGACATGGATTTAAAGCCATTTTGATGAAAACCTTGTAAAAGCTGAAATGCACAATTGTGTGCAATATTGTGAGTTCTCACAGTTCTCACAAGATAACACAGAAAAAAGGTTTGTAGGCTCAATCATCCAGGTAGATAACAACAAAAAAGGTTAAATCATGTCATCTGGACCAGTTTCTTTAAGGGAGAAATGTTTCGTCTTCCATCCGGAAGACTTCATCAGTCTGCAGCCTGCCAATCAGATCTGTCCCATAAGTAGCCTTCACTGCTGTGTTTCAAGCCATCCTCCTGTTGGAATCTCAGAAGCAGGCTTTTAACACATGCAAAAGGACTCAGAGTTTGTGTTTGGAATAACTCTCAGATACTACCACTCCTAATTGTAGCACAGTATGTATAAAATTGACAAAGCTAAAGCCATTTTTGTGTTGACTAAGGTTGATTAGCTGTGGTGGCTTTAATGAATTGGGGGGACTTTGAAAATCAAAGTCAAAGTTTCTTTATTTGTCATACATGTGGTACATGTGGTGGAACAAAATTGTGTACACAGGGTCCCAATTACATCCAACAAAAGTATAAATTGCAAATAAAAACAGTAATAAGATCTAAGATATGGACTAAGACAAATGTTAAACTAAAAATACGCTAAGCACTAGTAGTACAAAATCAATTGGAGATGTACATTCAATATTTAGTTTCTAGGAGTTCAATGAAAAACATTTCCTCATTCACAAGATACTTTCCTGTTTCCTAAAGCCACAGGAACACAGTCAGACACAGCCACAAATATTACGGCCTGTTCTGTTTGGCAACAGATAAAAACTAAAATATATTCTGCAAAGTGAGGTCACTCAAAGAGCTATCTACAACGGGTAAAATGTTGTTGTTCATAAACTTTACTCAGAAACTCACTTTGATGACTCGTCTGAACGTTCCCTTTAACCTTCATTTCTCATATCAGGTGCAATTTTTAAATAAATTATGAACTGTCGGTTGAAGTTAGAAGAAATAAAACATCAATGTTTTATGATCCTTTAAAAAAAGTCTCATCTTCAAGTTACTGTCTTTGGAAATATATTTACATATTTAATTATATTAATAGGAACAAAAGATCGTTTACGTTTACATACACTTAATTACATGATCATGTGTGGGATTAGAAATGTATTTTTTATTTTCTTACATATGTTAATGCTTTTGTTCAGTGCCCTGAGATGACTTCTGTTGTGACTTGGTGCTATATAAAATATAGCGCTATATAATATATATATAAATAAACTGAATTGCTGCAGCTCATGACACTTACAGCTGAAGCTGACTGGATGAGTAATCACTATGACATATCTGTGCATCTAAACCCAGTAATTAGTTGATGTTGCTCTGGCGTGACAGCAGTTATTCCTAATTAGTCCAGGTGATTATTTTAAAGGGGAAGCAACATGTTTATCCTCTGATCATCACCTTGTTAGGCGTGATTAACCTGGAGTAATGTGTTTGTTTCCCATGATGCAGGTGGATGAGCACACTGTCGGAGAGCCTGGTTGGTTATGTGGGAGTTACCGTGGAAACAGGGGCTGGTTCCCCCAGAGTTACGCAGAGAAATGTCCCTCACCGGCCACCTCAGAGACGGCTCAGTCATCACCTGGAAAAATGTCCCGTCTGCCCCCTACATTAAAGATAAGGTAACAGACATTAAAGACTGGGTTGGTGCTTTTTAAAATGTTTTTATTCCTCTTGTATCTAAAAGTCAGTGAACCACAGAGATTTCTGTTTTATTCTTTCTGATTTGCAATTATTTTCAAATGTATTTTTCTCCTTCTTCTTCTAGTCTTCACTTTTCTAATCTGTCCCTCTTGTTTTAATCAGACACCCAGGTGAGGAAGGAGCAGGTGACAACAGAGTGTCTGTTTTTTCAGACCCTTCACAGGTGAGCTAGGCTTCACTGAGTTATTGTTTAGTTCCATTCAGAAAGTTTTCCTAACTGGGTAATTTTTCAGTAAACTGATTAGTGATATTACAGAAACACTGTTTCTTACAATGTCAAGTTATAGATTTACCATAATTCTTAGGAAAAACAGTGATATGACCCTGAGCCTCCTTTATTTTTATGTTGTGCAAAACAGGGGGGAAAATGTCACCAGATATTTTCAGCAAACCCTTACTACACATTTGGGTAAACAGTTGACAGCTCAGTTCCTCACTTCACCTGTGCATCTACAACATACGGCTGCAGATCAGTTGACATGACTGAGTCTATCATTGATCTACGACCTAGGACGTCCAGCTGCCATGTGCACTTATGGACACCCTTATGTTCGAACATGGTGTTTGTGATGGACAAACCTCGACTATCACAGAAGTCCAATAACAGAACACAGCTTGGGTTCAGATCAGGGTTCCTCCTAATCATACTCCTCTAGATCACACAGTTGCTACCGATGTGAGCAAGTCCCCCAACAGAACGAAGGAGTCCCCAGCAGGGCACCTTCCAGTAGCCCTGCTAAGGACTCCAAGATAGATGGGTACTTCCATTCAGCACATGGGCATAAACAACAGTCAGAGCACATACCCCCACCCAAAGGCACAGGGAAGATACCTGTTGGATAAAAGTATCCTTTCATTATCTATTTACTTAAAAGGAGTCACACACAAAGACAGGAGAAGATTTTTATAACCCAGTTTACTTGCAAGGGCAGAGTTCACTCTGACTTACACAGATGTCTCATTTAATAATAATAATAATAATAATAATCATTTTATTTAAAAAGCGCCTTTCATGACACCCAAGGACACTTTACAGTAAGAACAAAGATCAACAGGAATAAAGAATATAAAATACATAAAGAATATAAAATACATACAGAATATAAAATGCGTAAAGAATATACAATACATACAGAATATAAAATGCGTAAAGAATATAAAATACATACAGCAAAGTTAAGGATAAGCGAGTCTAAAGAGATGTGTTTTCAGAGCAGTCTTGAATATAGAAAGAGAGGTGGTGTTTCTTAAGTCAGGGGGTAGAGAGTTCCAGAGATGAGGAGCAGAGCAGGTGAAGGCCCTGCTCCCCATGGTGGAGAGGCGGGCAGAGGGTACAAGGAGGTGTAGTGAAGAGGAGGATCTGAGAGAGCGAAAGGGGATGGAGATGTGTAGGAGGTCAGATAGGTACGGAGGGGAAAGGTTGTGGATAGCTTTAAAAGTGAGAAGAAGAATTTTGAAGACTATGCGTGATTTAACCGGGAGCCAGTGGAGCTGCTGCAGGACTGGAGTGATGTGGTTATAGGAGGAGGTCTGAGTGAAGACACGGGCAGCTGAGTTCTGGACCAATTGTAGCTTCTGGAGAGATTTGTTGGGGAGGCCATAAAGAAGGGAGTTGCAGTAGTCAATCCGAGAAGTCACAAGACTGTGAACAAGGATAGCTGTGGAGCGGGGTGTGAGAGAAGGGCAGAGACGGTTAATATTTCTGAGATGGAAATAGGCAGACCGAGTGACGTTGTTGATGTGTGAAGTGAAGGAGAGAGTGGTGTCGAGGATGACATCAAGACTCTTGACCTGAGGCGAGGGGGAGAGCAGGGAGTTGTTAAGGGGGATGAGAAGATTTTCTGATTTTGAAAGAGAGTTTTTTTAAGCCCTGGTTGTGAAGATCTGCACCGGACAAAGTGCAGGAAATGTTGTTTTTTTTTTTTTTTTTACAATACAGTGCACACTTTTCAACTCCTCCTCCAGACTGCGTCAGATTGCAGGCTTTTCTCGGAGAGAGAAAATGAACTCTCTGACCTCATACACATGGTAACATCAGCATTAGCAGTGAAAAACATCCATAAACCTTTACCTAAATACCCTTGACAATACTCTCTCATCTACTGAGGAAAACACCAATGCACAGTTGCCAAGCTAGGGGGTTATAGGAATGCCCACACCAGTTAGCCAATCCATCTGCCCCCCCACCCCCCTGCAAGTGGTGAGCCCAAAGGAAGGCAACCCTATGTAGTTCATTCAGACTGAGCCTGATTGGGCCCCATGGGTGGAGGCATCAGGCACTCATTGACAAACCCCTCCTCCAGGCCTGGCTCCAGTAACCCCCATCAGGGTACGGGACCTAGAGCTCCTTGCTGTCTTCTGTCCAAGCAAGTATCGTAAATCGCTCTTTCTCTGGCCTGTCACCTAGCACCAATCTGCCTTGGGAGACCCCCACAGCATAGATCCTAAAATCGTTCAGTCACACAAACTCCTCCACCACAATAAAGTCTCAATTCACAGAGAACTTTCATAGGGTTAATCATCATTGGTACAGAAAAAATGGGTTATGTTGAGGTAGGTTTGCTGCAGCTGATATCATTACACACACGCAGTGTGTGTGTGACAGAGAACAGGTTAAAACTGAATGTGTCAAAGACAAAGTGAATGGTGTCGGGCTCTAAACATTCTGTCAGACTAACTCAAATGTTGCATATTTATTTAAATGGCCAATCAATAGAACAAGTTAAAGGAGTTATAATAGATCAAATATTTTCATGATCCAACATAAGATTGTGACTAACATTTCAATAATTCGGTGCAACGATCATTTTATGTCTCCTGAAATAAGAAAATTAGTCTTACAGTCTTTAGTCGTGTCTAATGCTTCAAAAAAAGATCTGGATAAACTGCAGAAAGTTCAATATAAAGCTGCAAGAATAGCACTTGGCTGTCATTTTAGAAATAATATCAACTTTATGCAGCAAAGCCTGTCATGGATGAAGGTTAGTGACAGACAAGTTTACAGCCTTCCTTTCTTTTTACACAAAATGTGGATTTTACATCAACGTTTTGTCCTTTCCTCACAGTTATTACCCACCTCTATAAGACATGGTTTTATTACCAGACTAGAACTAATGCCTTCAGACAAACAGCTTTATACAGAGACATTCATACTGTGGCCTTCTGAAATAACTGAGATTGGTGATGATGATAGTTTTTAAAAGAACCTTAAATTATCTATAATACATAATAAAAATATTATTAAACTGAACGAGTTTGTCAATCTATGAATGAAATGCAAACTGTTTATTTTTTCTTCTCTTTTTTTGACAATTTTTTTTAAATGATTGTATCAACTTGTTCTTGTGTCTCTTGGATTTTTTTTTATTATTTGTGAGATTTTGAGTTGTCATGACATTACAATAACATTTGTGTATCGTAATGCTTGTGGGTGTGGACCTCAGGAAGAATAGTCTCTATTATGGTAAAGATTAATGGAGATCTTTAAATAAATAATAAAAAAACACATCCTAAACAGCAACAAATCTGTATATATTTATGTATTTTTAATGCTGGGTGTTCGTCTCGCTCTGCCTTTTAGTGGGTCACACAAACATGCATATAATAAAAATCCTAGCAGTTGATGTTTTTGGTCAAATTGTTTTTACGTCACTCATCGTGGCTTTTTCCTTGTCGCCCAGTCGATCGCTCTGCTCGCTCGGGCTGTCTCTTCATGGTCCACCACCTCAGAAAACAACCTTTGTCCTTCCTCTGACGCGAGCGGCACCTTGCTGAGCTTCTCGCAAGGTGACATCATCAGTGTGCTGCAACAGAGGGACGACTGGTGGTTTGGACAGCTGAACGGAACGCAGGGATGGTTCCCCAAAAGTTACGTCACTTTGGAGCCTGCTGGAAACTCAGAGTATGAAGATTATTAATAAACACATCATTACAATGTAAAACTTGAGCTGATTCTTGAATTTAAAACTGTTGTTCTCATTGTAGCCTGGATGTGCTGGACTCATCTGACTCTGCTCAGCTGGAAGGTTGGTTCAGTTTATTTTAAATCCAGTTGATGTTAAACCTGGAGCAGCTCTTTGAGCGATGCCTTCACTTACACACTTCAAAACAGTCTGAGACCTTCTGTCTGTCTTAACCAGAGTACGTGGCCTTGTACACATACGAGAGCCCAGAGACGGGCGACTTGACATTTGTCGAGGGGGATGTTGTCATGGTGACGGAGAGAGAAGGAGAGTGGTGGCGCGGATGCATTGGTGACCAGACAGGAGTGTTTCCCTCCAACTATGTCCGGCCTGTGGAGCCAGAGGTAAGACTTATCATCACGGCTAGTTGTTTTGGTATAAAATAAAGCCAAATTTGCAGCTTTTTTTATAACGAATTATTTAAAAACTGTACGTTAAAATGCAAAATATATCCAAATGACGCTAGTAAACGAAGCCTTAAGGGTTCTTTTTTTATTATTTGGAAGCTAAGTAAGTGTAGAAAATAATATGAATGGCATATTTCCTTAAATATGAAAAAACATTTTTAAATTCATTTGTTGTTTCTTGTTTTTATTTACCATCACTAAAACTTAGGGGTCAAGACCTGGAGTTTCAAGCAAGAAACCTGGTGAGGAAACGCAGCCAACACAAACAGAGACGGTCCCAATCTGATTATGAAATCTGATGTTCTCTAGAGTTATGCCCTCTGAGTGATCTAAATTCATTGAGGTTCTGGTTCTTTTTGGGTTAGCAGAGCTTGCTCAGGCCGTCACCACCACCGAGGCCCCCACGGTGCATCAGCTGCATCTGTCTCCAGGACAACTGATCGTGGTCAGGGCCAAGAACTCCACTGGCTGGTGGCTCGGAGAACTGCAGGTCAGACACAAGAGACTAGGTTTAAAGCTGCCTCTGTTTTTTTTTTTTTTTAATGTGACAACATAAATAATTAACTGATTCTACATTTTACTTTTGACTGAATTATGACCATTGCCTAAAGGACAAAATAAAACACACGAGAAAACCTGAACAAAGAGCTCAAAACTAAAAATATTTGCCCCACTTTCCATCAGTTCCTTCTTTTCTGTGTTGGCTTCACATCAGTCTCACTGTGGCTTGCAGCACAGATGTTTTTAGTTGCACACCCATACTGTCTGTAAGCAAAAGTAATCAGCCAGCATGTATTTTTATTAACTGTTGCCATGAAATATTAATTAAACAAGTGATTTACACAAAAATCATCTCAATCATTAGGTGGTTTGTTAAAGTAGAAACAGCTCCTGCTGCAGTTAAATCTGAATATTTATTGTTTTACTTCTTGTAAACATCTCTGTCTTTTAGTTGATTTTACACTTGTTGTTTCAAAGCTCTGACTAATAATTAAATATTCTATTCAGTATTTAGAACTGAAGCATCTTTTTTTTTAATCACTGCATGCTTTTATTTAATCTTCCCCAGGTTCGGGGTAAAAAGCGTCAGAAAGGTTGGTTTCATTCGTCTCATGTGAAGCTCCTGGGCCCGTCCAGCAGCAAGTCGTCTCCCTCCCCTCTGCCAGGTGACGACTGACACACCCTGAACACAACATCCTGCCGCTGCTGATCAGTGTGGAGTTATTAGTCAGAGTATGGGCTCAAATTCCAGTCGTATATACAGTATGATGTTCTATTGAATAGTTGTGAATTAAAGTTCATAACCTTGTAAAATAAAATGGCTGATAATTTCTGCTTTGAGCATGTGTACATAGGAATGTGTGCGTGTAAAAAAGATTTGTATGTGTATAAAATAATTACCGTACACAAAATATAAGTTAATTTTTTTGTTAAGGTCTGTTTACAGATACAAAGCAAAAAACTGTGTAAAATTTTACTTGCAACTTGCAAGCATGAGTTATGACTGGACTTGTTTCCTCTCGGCTGATTGGTCAATGTCATGTCAATCACACATTGAACTATCCAATCAGAGAACAGATGGGTTTGACTGTTGGGATGGCCATTTACTGAGCTGCAAGTTCTGGAAGAGTAACGGGTAATGCATTTTGAAAATGGAGGACGGTGCCAGCACTACCAGCCATCCATCCATCAATCAATCCATCCATCCATCAATCAGTCCATCCATCCATTATCTTTATCTGCTTCTTTCTTCTTGGATTGCTGAGTTCAATGGTGTCCATGTCCAGATATTCAAAAATATATATCTGGACAATGATTTTGTTTTTGTTCTACTAAACCATAATGTAATGTCTACCTGAGCTGCAGAAGCACTGGCACCGTTAGTTTTTATGAGGTTGGCTTGAAGACATTTGCATCCTCGCTGCTTTTTGTTAATTTCTTCAAATTTTCTTCTTCAGAATATGTTTCATGTTACATTTTATGAATGTCCTTTTTTGTAGTGTGTGTATATGTCTGTGTGTGTGTGTGTGTGTGTGTAAGTGTTATCTAGCTTTTAATCTTGTCTCTTGTGTGCACAGATTTCTTCACGCATGTTTCCTACATGATAAACTTGCCAAACTTTACAAAGACAAAAACATCAGTATCTGTTTATGCAATATTTTACAAAATTTTCTAAAATATCTCAAAGACGTGCTTCGTATTGTTTGATATTATGTTTTTTTTTTCTTTTTACGAGCACAGTCCCAGTCTTTATTATTTCCTGTCCAAGCCTTTTTAAAACATGTTGCCGCTATCAAATTACTATATATATTTTAATATATTCAAACATGCTTCTTTGCTGTCTTTTCAATTAAACATTAAGAAGATGTGTTGAATTTGCCAATCAATGCATTACTCTTTTACACAACATTTAACTACCATATTTTTCAGACTATAAGGTGCACTGAATTATAAGGCTCACTGTTGATTTTTGAAAAAATTAAAGGATTTTAAGTGTGCTATATAGTCCGAAAAATACGGTACTTTATGAAAACAATTTTCGTCAAATATGCTGGTGCTTCCAGCATCAGAAGGTTACTAATTTGGAATAAATGAACATAAAAATAAAAAATATATATCTTTATCTTTAGTGTAATTCTCACAATTTTTGGCATGGTGTATATTTAATGTGGAGCAAAGGTAAAATTTAGCTTGTTTCATTTTGAATGTAGTGTGTTAGCTGGCTAAGAGATGGTATTTAGCTGTATTTACCAACATCCTTCTCAGAACCGACAGACTCTTTACCCACAATGTTTGTCTTGAATTCTTAGTTTGCCAAGTTATCGCAATGTACGACTACACTGCTGCCAATCAGGATGAGCTGAGCTTCTCCAAGGGTCAGCTCATCAACATCCTGGACAAGACCAACCCCGACTGGTGGAAAGGGGAAACCAACGGGGTCACGGGCCTGCTGCCCACCAATTACATCAAGATGACAACAGAATCAGACCCCAGCCAGCAATGTGAGTAAACACTCGACCTTTTTGGTTGTTTTTAACGCTGACCACATTTCTCCAGAGATATTCCTTTTCCGTCTCACCGTTTGAGAGAAAAGTAATAATTTACACAAGCAGCTGGAATTACTGTGGGAGTGTTACACATATCCACAGAAAGACATGAAATGTGTTTATAAGGTGTGGAAACATATGTTTTGTCCTCCTAACGGTTACGTTGGTTCACTCCAGGTACAATAAATTCATTACCCATGTCAGAACTTGGTAAAGCTGATGGTGAGTTCCTCGTTCTGTCAGTCTCAGGGGGAAATGGTGAACACATTTTCAGTACACATAAAAGGCTTGATTTTATGCATTTTTCAGCAACACCTGCTGCAACAGATGACAGCTTCTAATTTAAAATGTAAAAATTCCTCTGATCCCTGCTCACTAAACGAATAAGACTTTTTGCATTTCTGAATGAACTGATCATTTAAAAACATTTGAAGGAATAGTTTGATTTATTTAGTTTTATACTTTTTTTTTGTCAAAGTGTAGATAAAAGTGTCAATCATTTTTATTGATGTGTTAAATTATTGACCCAAATTTTTCTCTAGTATCTTGATTAGATTTAATTTGCACTCATAAAAGTATTTTTTCCCAAACTTTTCCTTTAAAAGTTGACAAATCAAAAATACATAGTGTAGCATGCAAAACAAAATGCAATGATTTGCAAATCCATTAAACCCATATTTTATTAATAATGGAACATAGTAAACATATCAGATGTTTTTAAAAGAACTTTTTTTAATGAGGTGATTTTGAATTTTATGACAGAAACGCGTCTCAAAACATTTGAAGCAGGGGCAACAAAAGGCTGTAAAAATATAAGTGGTACAAATAACAACTAGAAAAACATTTAGCATTGAATTAGGTTAAAATATGGTGGCCCTGAGGTGTAAATGAACAACATTGGAAAGAACAGAATTACATTTGATAAAACAGAATTACATTAAGCCAAAGCGGAAGTGGCCAAAGCGGAAGTGGCCAGAATCACGTTTGAAAAAACAGAATTACATTTGATAAAACGGAATTACATTAAGCCAAAGTGGAAGTAGCCAAAGTGGAAGTAGCCAAAGCAGAAGTAGCCAAAGCGGAAGTGGGCACAATCACGTTGGAAAAAAACAGAATTACATTTGAAAAAAATTTGAAAAAACCCACCACTTCCAGTTTTGCTTAATGTAATTTAGTTTTTTCAAATGTGATTCCAGGCACTTCCGCTTCGGCCACTTCCACTTTGGCCACTTCCGCTTTGGCTTAATGCAATTCTGTTGTTTTTTTTTTTTTTTTTTCAAATGTTCATTTACACCTCAGGGCCACTGTATTAAATGGCACTGGATGGGTGTAAATAGAGCATTTTAGGGAGGCTGAATTTCTCAGAAATAAAGATATGAAAAAAATGTATCTAAATGTGTATTTTCAACTGCAAATTGGGAAGACTGAAAATGCAGTCATCTACAGTTTATATCAATCACCAAAAGATTTAAACAATCTGAAGCAAAGTGCAAAAGACAAGGCCACAATTCAATATTGGATGGCCGGGATCTTCAGGGCCTCACTGCACTAAAGACAGGTCTGATTCTTTGACAGACGTCACTGCAGCGGCTCAGAAACACCTCCACACATCTGTGTCTGTAAACAGTTAGCCGTGTCATTCTGGTTAATTCTCTCATTTAAAAAAGCCATATGTGAACACTATCCAGAAACGCCATCTTCCCTGAGCTAAAGCTCATTTAAAATGGACTGAGGCAAAGTGGAAATCTGTTCTGTGGTCAAACTAATCAAAATTTGAAATTATTTTTGGAAACCACAGACGCCACATCCTCTGTACTTAAGAGGAGTCTGTTATCAACAAACAGTTCAACAGTCAGCCTCACTGATGATATGGGGGTGCATTAGTGCCTCTGGCATGGACAGTTTACATATCTGGATAGACATCATTAACGCAAAAAAAGTATATACCAGTTTTGTAACAATATATGCTCCCATCCAGATGATGTATTTGTCTGGAAAGGCCGTACATATTTCAGCAAGACATTCTGCATCCATTACAGCAGCATGGCTTTGTATTAGAAGAGTCCAAGTGCTGACCTGGCCTGCCTGTAGTCCAGACCTCTCACCAACTAACATTTGATGCGTCATGAAACAGAAGTAAGGCAAAACAGGCCCAGAACAGCTAGAATCCTACATGAGATCAAAACTGGGACAACACTTAGCAGCTGGTATCTCAGAGTTGCCTCATTTTTTCCTAAAAGAGGTACAGTTTCTTAGTTTAACCACTCGATGTGTTTACTGCGTTCCATTTTGAATGATTGCATTTTGTTTAACGTACATTTTAAACAACATTCCAGCTTTATAAAAATCGGTGTGCTATTTCAATCACAGCTTTGGAAAATGAGCGCGAGAGTTGATTTTACTTGCGTCCTGTATTCACTGTGCAGTCCTTCATTTCTCACACAGGCGGTTTGTGTTTGGGCGAGTGCTCACAGCTCGTGTGTTTTCGCTCACAGCAGCAGGTTTCTTGTTAACATGAATGAACAGAGTGGACATTTCATTACGCGGAACTCGATGCCACGCTCACTAAAGAAATGTTCAGTTTAATGAGCACGTTCTGATGGACGTCATTCATTGTCTGTAGGTTCAGTTCTGTGCTTTCATGCAGAACTGCTCCAGCTGTTGTAATTAATAACATTCACATGTCCAGAAATGCATTATTAATGCGCCTGCATGTAAGAGTCCTGTATTAACGTCTGCTGTCTCTCCCTCTTTCTTCCATTTCACTCATCTTCCCCCCTCTGCTCCTCCACTTCATCCTTTGTTTTTTTTCCTTTGTAGGACAGTAATGCTGGCTTTCCTCTCTGCTCCTCTTCCTCCTCCTCTTCTGTCTCACCCCTTGTGTCTGAGCGAGTAGCCCTGTGGCAACAGGAAGTCCAGCCGCCAGCCAGAACAGCCCAGCTCCGCACTTTCCACTTGACTTGTTTGGGACTGTGGTGTTCTTTGCTCCTCTGTTACAATCTGTCTTTTTTGTTTTGACTCTGTCCTGCTCCTTTTTACCTTTCTGCTGGTATTATTCACTCCTCCTTGTTCTCCTTCTTGTTCTGTGTGTCCCTTGGTGTGTCTTTAACTAACTAACCGAGGGAGGGAGGCAGCTAGATGTGAGTTATTGAAGGTTTTGTACTTTTCACATAAAATTATGGAACAGTTTCTGCTAAAGACAGATGAGTCTACAATAATTCTTCCAAAAGCCAAATCTTGATTTTAATTTTTTAACATTAAAATTTTAGTCCCTGGAAATGACATAAACAAGTGGTAAAATGTGTTAAAAATGTTGATAAAAATGCTAAAACCTGTGCTGAAACTTGCAGCAATAGATTACAAACTCTTTTTTTTTTTTTTTATACAAAGTTGCTTATACAAACTTTTTTAACCAAAACATATAAGATCAGTCAAGCACATCTTGCACATATTGAGGTTTCATATCATTCTTCTGTTACAACTTTCAGGTTACCGTAGTTTTTGGACTATAAGGCGCATTAAGCAAAATAAGTTCAATTTGACAGATTTTGGAGCGACGTGTACCACATAAAATCAGTTCGAGGTCAGTAAGCACAACCAGAATTAATACATAAGGTGCACTGGATTATGAGGCTCACTGTTGGTTTTTGAGAAAATTAAAGGATTTTAAGTGTGCCTTGTATTCTGAAAAATATGGTAAGTCTGCATCTCCCTGGGCTGACTGTTGGCAACTATGCAACAATCCTGCAAAAAATGTTTTGTTGCAACTTCTTCATAAAGTATCCTAATCATGTGTGAAGATATGTCTAACGATCGTGATTTATTACTCTTTTTGTCTCCGCTCAGTCACAATTTGGTTTCAGAGATCACCCTCCCACTAAAGTTGTCTCACATTTCGCACACTATCTGATTTACCTACTTCTAAATGGAGAAAGGCTGAGACAAGTTCCAGATGCTCGCAGCGAGTCTGGACTATTTTTATGAAACGTTGAACATTTCAGAGAGCAAGGCCCTGTGAGTTGTGTAAAGAAACAGAGAACCTCCACAAACGTTTCAAGACATTTGAGAATACTGTTCGCAATTTGTTGCCTACAGTCGCAGCCCAGTGAGACACTGGTTTAAGGGATGCGCCAGTTAATCGTCCTGTGATCTGAATTGCACGACTTAAACTTGATCGGCTTCAATAATAGACGCAAATTGTATACAAAGGGGGGTGATTTTAGTTATTTGAGCAAAAATCAGAATCAAAAGTTCAGAGTTTTATAGAAATCAAACCCAGCCTAGAAAACTGATCTGTGCATTGTTACTTCAGCTGTTAGGGTCTGCTTTCTTGTTAATAATTTAATCTGTTATTAGTCTTTAGTTTAGTCTTTGCTCTTAACAATTCAGTTCAAAAATTCAAAGACTAGACAAGCTTTTTGTTAAGTAAAGACCTATCAAGCTATGGGTTGAGAGTTGAACCCATGTGCAGACAGACATGGGGAACTCGAGGGTAAAAACAATGAAAATACAGTAGTTCCTTGTTTATCACGGGGGATCCGTACCCTGAAGCCCCGCAATAAGTGAAAAACCGTCAAGTAGGAATGGTAGTACAAGTAGTTTTAAACCCTTCCCACACTCTTGCAATATTCTAAACAATGTTTCTAAACTCTAAATGCTCTAAAAGAGCACATAGCATGTCATGATTTCAGCTCCCTGCCTCCACTGCTCTCAGCCATCTGCAAGCATTCTTGGCCACGCCCACTTCTCCGCTTTGCATGGAGAACAGCTGATCAGCTGCAGTAGGAAGCTTATCCTGCAGTGTGGGCTGCACACAGATGCAGGAGGTGCTAAATAATTTTAAATAATTTATCTTAAATAAAAATTTCATGCCGATCGTGTGGCTCATCCATCAATCAACCAATTGTGTGTCATGTCCAATCTTATTTTGAAAAACCGCGATAGAGTGAGTCTGCGAAAAATGAACCCCAAAGTGGCAAGAAACTAGTGTATTTATTAAATCAATATAAATCAAAGGCTGCCGTGGCAGCAAAACTTACAAACTAAAGGAGCACAGAGGAACAGAGCATGATGCTGAGGAAGCACAATCCATGGACAGGGAGGAAACACGATGACACTGAACTTAAAGAGACACAACGATGAGCACCTGGGGTGACTGGGAACAGGTGAAGCTGAGAGGAGCAGGAGCTGACAACATGAGGGGAGAAACACTGAGGAAGCTGGTGACACAAGTAAAACAGACTCACAGAGAAAACCAAAACAAGAACCACTCAAAGACCAACATAGATCCTGACAAGGCCTTTAAACCGAACACAACGACTTTGCAAAGAGCATCCATGTTTAGAGTTTCAACTCAGAGAAAAGTCACCCAGATGGTAAATCATCCCTAAAAATAAATTCAACTCCTCAAAATATTTTTGATATGATTAATATTTTAGGATTTTAGACCAGAATCTGTGGAAAAAAAAAACTAAAGACAGGATAGTATGCAAAGTTTTTAACTATTTCACAAAAATACATGGAAAAATACTTAAATATTTTAACTCCTTCTTTGACAAGTTCTCACAGTTGCTCGTTACTTTTTATGTCATTCCTAGTCAAACGAAACCTTAGTCCAAAAAAAAAACGATCCATAAGTCAACATTTGGCTTTGTTACGAATCATTTTGGGCTTATCTGTAAAAGGAAATATAAATATTAGTCACAAGGCGTTGAGTAAAACATAATCTAAGACAGGAGTCATTTAGTTTTCTAATGCTGTGAATAAATGTGATGGCAGTATTTGAACAGGGTTACTCATTCTTGCACTAACAACATTAATCTTGCAAAAACGGACCAAGTAGACGCCTCATCGTCCATCAACGCTCGCTATCTCACTGCTTGAACTCAGACTAACAGATTGTGATTTTTGTCATTCAATTTGTATGTATAACGTTAAGTCTGTACTGAGCTGTTAAAGTCACCAGCAAAAAAAAAAAAAAAAAGGTTTTCGATGTTCCAAACCAACAGAGTAGCTCTAGAGAAAAGAACGTCACGCTGCTATTTACATCCACTTATTTGCCAAGTTTGAACTTGAACTACCAGCTGAGTCTTCCACTGCTCTCTCACTTCACCTATGCAACCATTTAAACATAAAGGTGCTTTTTTTTTTTTTCTTTTAACTCAGCCCTCGTGGTAGCAGCGTGGTTAGCATCGCTTGCTGTGTTACGTTCCCGCACTGCGACTACAACGTGCCTCACTCTGTGCATTGACTGTAAATAAACATACAAGAACTGATAATAAAGTCAGATTTTTGACATGTTCGGCGTGGAGTGGTTTTAAATGTCATGCCTGGGAATGAACAGGAAAGTGTTTGTGCTCGTGTTTGCCGTGCATGTGTTTGCATGTGCGCCGCAGGGTGTGCGGACCTGATGACTCTGGACACGATGACCCCTCAGGAGAGGAAGCGACAGGGCTACATCCATGAGCTCATCCAGACCGAGGAGACCTACGTGGAGGATCTGGAGCTGGTGCTGGAGGTAAAAACTGAGAATTGACAAACAAGTTGCCATTGTGTTTTTGAAGGGCTGGGAGTAATACTAGTGCTTATTACTGCAAAACACTGATTATGTTTTATATGTGTTTATGCAGTGTTAGCAAAATATTCTATGAACCACTGGACAAATTTTTATGAAACTTTCAGAAAGTAGATATCACAGTCGATAGTAGGACGAAACCCAGAATGCAGACTCACTATAAAAAACTCAAAATAATAACTTTCACTAATTTACTATGAAAAAAAAATAATGCTGACATGGCGGGAAAATCTTACAGCGTCTCAGGAGGAACGATGACTTAACACATGGGAACGACCGGAACTGAGGCATGGAAACCAACAATAAAGTGCTAACATAGAGATGAAAACAGACTGGATATCTCAAAGTTCATGCACAATAATCCAGGTAAAACATCCAACAACATTCAGTCAGGTCATCTGGACGGTTTCTTTTTTGTTGAGACGTTTCGTCCGTCACCCAAAGGACTTCATCAGTCTGAGGAGCAGCAACAAACTGAGTCCCACAAGTAGCACACCCACATAGTGGACCAACCAGTTTGCTGGTGATAAGATGGTTTCTGGGGTCCTCCCTCTCCCCCGTCGACTCCTCTGAGGCAGCCATAGCCAAAGTGGTTCAAAACATCAAAGTTCATGCTCAATAATCCAGGTAGAAAACCCATCAAAGTTCAGTCAGGTCATCTGGACAGTTTCTTTTTTTGTTGAGATATTTTGTCCTTCATTCAATTCAATTCAAAAATACTTTATTAATCCCAAAGGGAAATTATTTGTTGTTGTATCTCGTTACCCTCATTTCATTAAGAGATGTTATAGATACTGATAGCTGTAAGTAGGAAGGATCTCTTGTAAAGGTTCATCCCACAGTGGATCCTAAGAAACTGGCTGCAGAAGCCGTCCGATCTGTCCACCCAGACCCGGCTGGCCTCTTGGTTCCCCTGGGCTGTAGGGCCGCCCGAATGCCGGGCAGAACTCCTCCTAGAGCGATGGCCAGCAGTCTGCCAAGCTCCTTGTTGCTGCGGCCGGACAACTCATCCAAAGGACTTCATCAGTCCAAGGAACCACTTTGGGTATGGCGGTCTCAGAGGAGCCAACGGGGGAGAGGGCAGGTCCCAGAAATCCTCTTATCACCAGCAAATTGGTTGATGCACTTTGTGAGTGTGCTACTTGTGGGACTGAGTTTGTTGGACAGATTAAGTCCTTTGGATGATGGACAAAACGTCTCAACAAAAAAACAAATGTCCAGATGAGCTGACTGAACTTTGTTGGAGACAAAGGTACTGGTACTTGAGGTACTGGAGACAGCTAAATGATTGCAGAGTGGGAACAGGCGAGAGTGGCAGGCTGACTAAGAAAAAACACTGACAAACTAAACAACTAAGTGAGGGGAGATGAAATGATGGCACACAGGGAAAATGAAAACACAAGTAACTAAACGCACTTACAGAATACAAATAAACCTCACCAGAAAGACTTAAACAAAACTAACCAAAAACACAGATCATGATGCACAGGTGCATTTAAAACATTAGAATGTTGTGGAAAAAGTTCATTTTTTTGTCAATCATTTCAGAAACTGGAACATATATTATATATATTAGACTCTGGGACCTTGATTTCTAAATGATATGAAAAGTTTACTTTCATCTGAAAAGAGGACATTGGACCACAGAGCAATAGTCCAGTTCTTTTTGTCCTCAGCAGGTAAGACGCTTCTGATGTTCTCTCTGGTTCAGGAGTGGCTTGACTTGAGGAATGAGACATTTGTAGCTCATGTCTAGAAGTTAATCAGCTGATTAGGGTGTGACACCAGGAGAACCTCTTCACAATATTCTCATTTTCTGAGACTGAATTTTGGTTTTTCATTATGTGTAAGCGATAATCACCAAACTTACAATAAAGGCTTGAAATATTTTTGCTCTATGTGTAATGAAGCTGTATAAAAAATAAGTTTCATTTTCTGACATGATTGACAAAAAATGTGAACTTTTTCACGATATTCTAATTTTTTGAGATGCACCTACATGTAAATAATCTTTGAAGGCATCCCAATTAAAAATGGCCACCACAGCCAACTGACCATAAAACACAGAAATGGCCACAAGTCATTCAGTTACACAGAAACCAAGCTCAAATGTAGTTTAGTGGAAGCTGAGTCATCAAACATTGACTGACTGCTAACTGAGCTTTGTTAAAACTGTTAAAGTCCACCATGTTTGTCTGTCAGCAAAATATTTGATGAAGCACTGGACAAATTTTAATGTAACACTCAGAACTTAACCACTGGCTGTACATCTAAAACTCCATAACAATGGAGTCAACCGAGTTCAAGATGGCCGCCATAGTTAAATGACCGTAGTAACACAAAAATGGTTTTAACTCGGTCAATTTCAAAATGTAAAATTCTGTTTGGAAATAGCTAAAAGTCATTCACAACACATTCTTTAAATACTTTATGTAGTTTTAACTTGTTTTTTGTTGTTGTTGTTGTTGATAACATTGTTGTTTTGTTTGTTTGTTTGGATGCCCAGGTGTTCTACAAGCCCATGTCTGAGTCCGGTCGTCTGACAGAAGCTGAGATGACAGCCATCTTTGTTAACTGGAGGGAGTTGATTATGTGCAACACCAAGCTGCTCAAGTACATTCACATTTTTATTAATATATTATATTCTGCAGATTGCTTTTCTTGAGTGAAACTTTCTGCATCCTGTTCAGTTTATTCCGTAGTTCTGGTTCCAAAGTGGTCCATCATTGTAGGGTCAACAGATGGTTGCAGAGGAAATACATTTCAACAATTAAACGCTAATAACACACACTTTTTTTTTTTTAACAAAAATGGTCCTTCTATTACATGAATCATACCAATATAATGTGATTTAGAAAAGATGATACTGAGTTGGTGAAAATACTTTAATTGGTTTGTGAAATTCTTATCATGCACATTTAAAAAAATCGTATTTTATATGATTTTGTGCCAAAGTATAAATAATCCCCAAACAGACCAGGATTTGGGGGTTGAGCTGCTGGTCATATGTCTTGTCAAAAATAGTTTAGATTATTAACATTCAGGCAGAGAAACTTTTAGTCTCTCAGGAAAGCATTTTTAGCTCCAGCACTCAAAAAAAAAGAAGCTCTCATGGTGGGTCATCTTTAAAGTCCAGCAGCACCAGAAATGTTAAACCAACTCCAAATAATCTTGAATCCTCATTTCCTGTGTTATGTATTTACTGTATGTACAAAGTAAAAAAGATTAGGAATATTCAGTCTTTTTTGTTTAAAAACGTACAAAACCACTGAAACAGTGGGGTTTATTAGCTGTCATTCTGGTTGGTGTTTCTGGTTATGGCACATGCAACATGCATATAAAACACTAAGCTGCTGTACTTTAAGTTTCTTTCTAGAATGTTGCAAGACTTACAGAAATTATTTTATGTAGTTGAGCAACTATTTGAAAAGTAGTAAGCATGGACTTTGTTGTTACTAAGCATATATTTTTAAATTACCGTATTTTTCGCCGTATAAGTCGAACCTTTTGCAGAAATTTGCGTCTTGCAACTTATACACCAAAGCAACTAATATATGTTTTTTTGTTTTTTTTTCCCATATTTATAATCCAATTTTTGGCTGAGCTCTGATGATTTCATTCATTCTGACATGGAAAATATTGAACACTACAATTTTCAGCCACTAGAGGGCCCTCCAGTAATATGGCAAGCCAAGTGTCTCATTAATAGGTAAATGTGGCTATTAATGAGACACTTGGCTTGCCATACCAAGCCACCTTCGTCTCACTCTGGAACTCCTGGAGCAAACGTCAAATCAGCTGCATTTTGCCGCAACGCCCAAGAGAAATGCAGCTGATTTGACCATCGAAGTGCATTTATTAAGGAAAAGTTCAACTGAGACACACATTTACTATAATTTCAAGCAAACAATTAATTATTTTTATGTGTTAATTTAGTTAAATTCTTGTTAAAGTTGTCCCGTGCACGCTCCCGCGGCCACCATTTGGCAGCCAATTGATTTTTGGCACAACACCGGCCCACATTTCAGGGTGGTCAGCGGTGACGCATAATAGACTTATACAGCGAAGCAACGTATTTATGGGGGGGGGGGGTCACTTTATTAGACATATTTGGACTGAAGCGTCTTATAAGGCGGCAAGTACGGTACTCTAATATTTTTGTATTTTGATCTCCGGGCGGCCAGACTTTTGTATAACCTTTTAAAGTGATTTGGAATAGCGGTTCTTCATGCTTTCTTCAAAGTTGTTTTTTCTTTCAGTACACTTTTTCTCATTTCTATCCACTTCCTGTCCCTGACTGTGACAGCTTACTGTGCAGTGCGTCCTCAGAAAAGAGGAAAAAGAACAAGCAGAGGATTTAAAAAAAGTGTCCATACTGTCCCTGTCTACAGTATGGATTAACAATATCTGGAAGTTTTGAACACAACACAAGTTCCTCTAACGTCTTCATTGTTTGTGTGTCTCAGGGCGCTGCGTGTGCGTAAACAGATCGGAGGGGAGAACATGCCCGTCCAGCTGATCGGAGACCTGTTGGCCTCGGAGCTCGCTCACATGCAGCCGTACATTCGCTTCTGCTCCTGCCAGCTCAACGCCGCTGCCTTGCTGCAGAGCAAAACCCACAACCAACCTGACTTTAAAGACTTCCTAAAGGTACAAAAAAAACCCTTTAATTTGTTGAGAGAACTCATGAGAGGTGTAGTAAAAATAAGTTTTCTCCCTGTTTTCTTCTTTCTGAGCAGAAGATTGCCACTAACTACCGCTGCAAAGGAATGCCACTGTCCAGCTTCCTCCTGAAGCCCATGCAGAGAATCACTCGCTACCCTCTGCTCATCAAGAATGTTCGTTAAAGATGTTTTCGCACTTTTCTGCCACTTCTTATGCTTACACTAATCACTTGTCCTGCTCTTCCTGTTGCTCAGATCTTGGAGCACACAGCAGAAGGCCACGCAGACCGTGAGCCCCTGCGAGTAGCTCTGGAGCGGGCCGAGGAGCTGTGCCTTCAGGTCAACGAGGGAGTCAGAGAGAAGGAGAACTCGGACCGGCTGGAATGGATCCAGAACCACATCCAGTGTGAGGGCCCTATAGAGGTGAACACTCAGATATAAATGGCAGTTTATATACAGTACTTGAAGAAGGGGCAGATTGATGGATCAGTCAACCAGTTATTGACATTTTATTCTAAATAATCACATCTTCCATGCCTGAGCATATCTGTGAGCAGAACAGAGCTGTTACAGGCATTACCCCTGGTGTCGATGTGCTTCTTGTAACAGCAGCGCTATTTTTCCAGCGAAACACTGACATATAAAAAAAAAAGTTGACTGAAATATCAACTTTATCACTGCTGGTCTGTACAGTTTTGATGGTTGTATCAGAATGTGTGATAAGACAATACTGTTGTCAGTTCAATTACCTAAACTCCAAATACTTTAAATCTTTTTTTCTGAGCTTTCAAGGGATTCAAGGTTTTTATTTGTCATTCGCACCACATGTGGTACATGTGGTGGAACTAAATCGTGTACACCAGGTCCCAGTTACATCCAACAATATAATGTAAAAGAAAAACAGTAATAAGATCTAAGATATGAACTAAGAAAAATGTTAACTAAAAATACAATAAGCACTAGTAGTATAGAAACAATACACCTAACAGCAGCACGAACATGAGTCTGAGTGAACAGATGAGCACGCATGAACACAGCAACATGAAACAGATCTGCAGCAACACGAAACAGATCAGCAGCAACAGGAAACAGATCTGCAGCAACACGAAACAGATCTGCAGCAACATGAAACAGATCAGCAGCAACATGAAAGAGATCTGCAGCAACATGAAACAGATCAGCAGCAACTTGAAACAGATCAGCAGCAACATGAAAGAGATCTGCAGCAACACGAAACAGATCTGCAGCAACATGAAACAAATCAGCAGC